TAGGTAGTCAGTAGTATATTAGGTTTTAATAAAGGTCTATATAAAATTATCTCATTAAGAGACAAGGTCTGATTGAAAAAAAAAAAACCTTGACTGAGCAATATAACCCTGTTCATAACATAATAACAAAGGCTTATGTCAGCTATACAAAATCATTAACTTCAGTTCTTTTCTAATCGAGTTAAATATATAAAAGTTAAAACAACTGAGATCCAAGTATAATTTTGAAAGCAAATAGTCATAGATACCGGTACATTTCTCTTTGACACTCTTAAGATAGTAAGTCGAAAGCCCTGTTTACATCAGGCTGCTGTAAAACGTTCTTCTCTCAGACGCAATAAAGTGTGACAGTGATACAAGTGGTATCTGAGAATGATTCTTGCATTGTAGTGTAATTCAAAACTGTTCTCAACACACTTATCTGTCCTTAATATCTTATAGTATCTATATAGTTCATCACCGTCTTCCTTGTTATAAAAGCAAATTGACAGTTTCTTTAACTACTGTCTTTTAGCAATAAAATTGTTGTTATTATTATTATTAAAGACACTGAAGTTTTTGACATGGTTTTGTTGTAAAAGTTTATTTTTGAGACTGACACTAAAATAAATTGAATACATAATCTTTTAAAATGCAGAAAAATAGTTTTCTTGACTTTCACTATTTGTTTTTTCAATCAAATTTCTAAAGAATTTTAGCTGTGAGAGACATGTAGACTGTATTCTAGTCTGATGTAGGTCATGTCATTTGAATGACATTTCAATCATTGTTGGATTATGATGGTGGTGGTTAAATAGGGTAAAATGAACTATATCATTGTTATTAGACACAGTCTAGCCCTTAATAAAAACATAGGTCATTTGCATTTACTATATTAAACTTGTGTTAGAGTCTGATTTCACATTTGAATCTTTTAAAGAGTCACATTGAGAGGTAAATAGACATTTTAACTTTATATTTGTTGAAATACTTTAATTCAAACATTGTGTTCAAAAGTAGCTAAAAATTTAACGAGGATAGTTATAAAAATTAAAATCAAAATATATTCCATTAACACATGAAAAATAATCAATCAATCTGAAGATACATGGAATTTTTTTTTGAAAAATTGAAAAATGTTTGATACTTGACGTTTTTTAATTTCTACGTTCGTCACAATTTCAAGAAAATAGCATAGCATGTATTTGAACATATGTTACATGTAGATTTAGGATATCCATCTACATCCTTACTTGGTATATGTAACGTAAGATTATACTGATCTATTGTTTATTTGGAATAT